ATAATATATAATCTACTTAACCAATACAATTAATTTATTAACTAAACTTTTTTTTATTCATTTTGAAATTATTAATTATTTCTGCTTCGACATCTGTGGCCATTATAGCAATTGTGTGACTGTAAAAATGTATAGACAACTTCGTGTCTGGATTTGGACCAAGACTTCTTCCGATGTAATGGCTTATGTTAAGTTATTCTCTTAGTTTTTTTTTTCATATATGTTGCATTATATGAAGATGTGTTTGATTGTGCTTGGCATATTGTAGGTGGGTCATCTTTCACCATAATTAATTAATTATAATAAATATGAATTAGTTCATAAAACAATATATTTTAGTAAAAATACGCATGTGCTTCTAACATTTAAACACCATCTTAATCAATATTCAAATAATTTAAAGTTATACATTATTTCAGTATAGTTATCGCATTTCATTATTTCAATGAACAAATTGTATACACGGACATATTTGATATAAAAGTTGTATAGGTAATAATATATTATATCTGTGGATTTATCTAATTGATTTAATATAATATAATCTATGGCGATTATCAAAGTCGTTGTGGAAGACGCAGTCGATGAAAGATTCTAACATTTCAATTAGATAGCAAAGCAGAAATGAATGAAAAACATCTTGCTTTCCGTATGATTTTTATTTTTTCAAAAAATCACATTATTTTTAAACTTCAATTATTCAGCAGTATCTGATGCGTTTCCGTGTCAGCGTCGGAGTGCATACACGTCGCGGATTCCAACAAAGCCCGAAATAATTTTTATTTAAGGCAAGTTTGTTATTTCATACCTATTCTTTTGAGGTTTAAAATTCAAATTGAGGTACACGTTCGTACACTTTTACAATGGTGATTTTTGAAAACAGTTCTTCACCTATGCATTTTAAACTAAAAACTTAAATACTTGCAAACGTTATGACTTTTTTAAATATAGTGAAATACTCTCTTAAACTCAAAAAATCAGACTTATTATTGATTTTTAGACATACTAAAATATGGCAGTATTGAATTTAAGCTATATGTTCATTTCT